GAATACATTATTACGCTCTTTTATAGGCATAAGACCTTCAGATGACCTTCTGAAGCTTTTTTATATTCAATGTCAGAAGACCTTCTGAAGCTTTTCTATTGACAGATGACCTTTTGAAGCTCTTCTATTAACAAAACAGACAGACGATCTTCTACAGACAGAATACCTTATGAAGCTTTTTTATTGACAGAAGACCTTCTGAAACTCTTCTACCAGCAGAGGACCCACTGTAGAATATCAACAGACAGAGGATCTTCTGCAGCTTTTATATAGGCAGAAGCTCTCCTGTAGGCAAAATATATTCTGAAGGGCTTCTATTGGCAATAGAGCTCTTATATAGCCCAAATATCTTCTGCAGCTCTTGTATAAACAGAATACATTATTACGCTCTTTTATAGACATAAGACCTTCAAAAGACCTTCTGAAGCTTTTTTATATTCAATGGGTCTTATATAATACTAAAAGTGATTCCCTATTTGTTCCCCGCTCCCTAAACTCCCACTGTTCAAATACCTTTATCCCATAAAATATACACGAATAAGCATCGGCAAAACCCAAGAGACAAAAAAGCGGAATATAATTTTTTCATTTTTCTCCTCCAACAAATAAGTTTACATTATTGTTTGTGTTTGTGTGTGTGTGTTAAATATTTGGTCATAACAGTTTACTGACTGTGCTTGACTGGCTGGCTGCTTCTTTTCTGGTCCTATCGGAACTTTTTGTTTACCTTTAGTTGTACTCTACTTGGTAACCATTACTAACTACTCATAAAAATGCACACATACACACACACGTGCATGCATACAAATAACCAAATACTGCATTACTTAAAGTTGAAGACCCCCCTTACACACTTATAGACATATGTATGTGTATGGGCACAAGGACATTGGACTAAATATGTATATGTATTTCCATACTATGGCCATTAAAAGGAAGGGAAAAGAGAACGCATGCTGGCATGTTGCTTGCATACTTTTGGGGCATCGACATATGCACAAACAATTTATACGAATGCAAAGAACACAAGAGTGTGTGCTGAAAATTATGACCAACAATTTGAGTGGATGTGCGTACATATTGGTGTTGTTGTTGCTGGCTCTGCTATTATTTGTTATTGTGGCCATGGGTATTATTTGTTCGCCTATTCGGATATAACATGCTCTGGTACAAATTGTTGTTAAACAGCAAATCAGCAATAACAACGGCAATGGGAAGAAGGAGAAAAAACTGCATTACGTTGACAGCATGCATATATAGGGCATACGAGCATGTGTGTGTGTTGGGTGTATTCCGGCATAGCTTGGTTGGAGCCGTATGCCTTTCAATACACAATTTCATAACTTCCTTTTTATTCGGTGTCATGGTCATTGCACAACTGGCAACGATAATGTAAAAAGTTTTCTGTTTTTGTTTTGTATTTTGTTTTTTTTCATTTCTTGGCATTAAAAACAGGCCAGACATAAGGGCGCCTAAATGTATGCAGCCTATTTCATTTTTTTCCGGAAATTTCAATTACATTTAAAAAGTTTTGTCATATTCATTTAGGAGATTTATGATATATAAATGGGGAAGAGATGAATGTTTGATCACTGGAAATATGCCAGGCGAAGCTTATACTATTCGAAATATGCAATATAATTTTTGAATTTTTAAAAATACCAGTAAATAAAATAAATGGTAGGCCAAAACCGACTTAATGTCGGACAAAATGAGTAGGAAATGAGAAACATATAACCATATTAATATTCTCTTATATATGTAGAAAAACTTTTCTATAGACAATCGTTTTATAGAGGAAACTCTTAAAGGACGTTTTTGTGCTTCTCTATATCGTAGGAATATGTTGGTCGCCAACTGCTATGATATACTATTTTGAGGTTTTAAAATTTTAGACCAGTCCGAACATAACCAAATTTTTACATGCTTATATTATTTCTATTATATTAATTTTTTTTCTAGCCAAAATTTCGAAATTAATTTGTTTCTTATATTGAATAAAAAATTCAATCTTTGTATGGACAAATCTTAAAGCGATACTATTTTTTGCTATTATATTTATATTATCTATTATTAATATCAAAATAATGAGACTAGACTAGACATCAACTCCAGACATACAAAAGACAACAACAAATACAATGTTTATTTCTTTCTTCAGCATTATTATTTGTATTATTTTTATTATATTATAATTAATCATATTTCTTAAAACATTAAACAGAAACATAGACACAGACACAGACATGTTGCAACAATAATGTCTGCTGTTCAACAATAACATCAACAGCAACAACAATAACAGAATGCAAAGCAACGCCATCTCACTTTGATGTCTTTTGCTACAAGAACTACAATTGTCTGGTCTAGTGTATGAGATCCATAATATGTCGCGGTAATCTCTATGTCTGAAGTCCATGCATTTAAGCCTTGACAACAAACAAATGACCTCAAAATTGTAGACAAACAGTAGAACTACTTTAAACGGCAGCAGCAAAGAAATAGAGAAATAAAAGCATTATGGAGATATACATGTGTATTGTAAAATACATACACAGGCGTTATTGCATCATTAAAATTATGATAAACTATTTAAATGAAAATGACCGAAGATAATGGTGGTCATGGATACAAAACTTGTTAAGAACCTCCTCATATCATTTTCAAAGTAATCACTCCGTTGGCTACTGTTTTTTCTATCCTTATTTTTTGTGTGATCTTGTTGAAGCCCTACTTCAGTTTTATCTCATTCTTAGTAGCATAGAGCTTCCACAAAACATCGACATCTTAATCGATTAGTAATTGTGTTAGTTTCATTGACCATTGCATTGTTTTTATTCCAGCTAGGTTATGGGTCTGCCATCTATCGTTGCCTAGAAACAACGCCGTTTCGTTTCTTTGCTTATTTATTATGGTTATTTTCCTCCGGGTGGCGCTACTATCTCCTTCCACTCATATTTTTGTGTTATTATAACGTCGGAGGGCTTTGGATGCATTTAATCGGACTGTCATCTATCCTTGCCTAGAAACGACGACGGTTTGTTTCTTTGCCTGTTAATGCTTGTTATTTTCCTCTGGGTGGCGCTATATCCTCTCATTCATTTTATTATATTATTAGAATATCGGGATGCATTTTATCTGCCTGCCATCTAACGTTGCCTACAAACGACGCCGGTTCGTTTCATTTTTTCGAAACCACACAGAAATACCTACTTCACTAGGATACTTCTACCCAAGAGTCACCTAGACATTTATGAGGGCTGCCATCTATCGCTTCCTTGAAACGACGCCGGTTCGTTTCTTTGCACACTTAATGTGATGATTTTTCTCTGGGTGGTACTATATCCTGTCATTCATATATTTGTGCAATTAGAATGTCGGGATGCATTTTATCTGGCTGCCTAGAAGCGACGCCGGTTTGCTTCGTTTCTATTTATTGTGGACATTGTCCTCTAAGTGGCGCTATCACCTGCTATGTTATTAGAATGTCAGGGCCATTGCATGCATTTCATCTGTTGTGCGATATGTCTTTTTTCGAAACCACTTGGAAGGGGCTTTCGGATGTATATCACCTGGAGTGTGATGTAAGCGTGTTTTTCTAAACCACTTTGAAATAAGTTTCCCTATTCCGCTAGGAGTAACCCTCCCCAAGAATCACTTAGACATTTAAAAATATTGGTATTACCGAAGTCTACATGTTTCGTAGGCTTGGAAACAAGGGCAAAGTCATACAAACCGTAAAGACTCGACAAAATGCATTTTGACAAAATATATAGGGAATAAGTAAAATAATTAATTGCATATACAATTTGATCCTGCCGTATTATTACTACTAACTAACTTTTAATGTTTACGAATATTAAAAATATGATTTAAATCTTTGTCTACTTTTTCCAGCAGACATGAAGTGATTTTTTATAAATAAAATAAATATTTTATTTCGAATCATTCTAACATTTGTAAAATTAATTTTTATCTATATTTTTCCAAGCCAAATAATTTAATTAACACTCCCTAAAAGTATACATTTATATTTGAATGCTACTCAAACCAGTTCGCCCACTTTTAGGCTCATTTTATTAAATTAAATGAAAATTGTATAATTTTAATCTCAATTACAATAACACATACACTGCTATAATACCCCACCCCCTCTTTAAGGGATTTATGGTCACCCACAATATAACCACAATTTATTTAATATGCAATTATTGCAAATAAACTCTCAACCAGTAAACCACAAATACCCGCAGATATATTTTATGCAAAACCTTTTGAATAATTGACCACAATGTACATGGGCAAAAAAATATTTACAAAAAAACTTGGTTACAGTTCATAAAACATTTGCAAACTTCAGTGCCGCCATGGTATTTCCTCTACATCCGCCCAAACCTCCAGCAACTGCATTATCGCAATCAATTGTTGTCATTTCTGGAAGGAAGGTAAATAGTACGTAGGTACGTACAAATGTACCTGTAAAGTGGCATTCAAAACACCCACTGCAATCGATATATAACACATAACCTCATTGTATTGGCCCGCTGCCAGGACTCGTGCACACAACATTGCTAAATGCTTAACAACAACAAAAACACAACAAAAAAGTGGATACGAATAGAATTTACCTTGACATAGATTTTCAATTTTCTCTATTGGTTTTCTGTTGTTGTTGTTGCCTTGACTTGACGTAATCCACAGCGTTAAGGTGAGGAATTCCCAAATAGAATAGCAGAATATTGTCAACAATCATGGGGCCAAGTAAAATGAGGAAGAAGAAGCAGAACAAGCACAAGAAATAAATATAAACAACCGGCAATATATCTATTTGTCATCGTGTGTTTTTTTCTGGTGTTGGTGTTGGGTACATTGCAAACTAATTTGAAAAATGTGTTTACCACTACCACAACTTAATAATAGATTGCCAACTTTCAAGCTCTTACTCATACCTGGGTTTACTCATTTTCTGATGTTTTTTTTTCTTTGTCATCTCTTTTCAGGTTCCCAGTGTGGAGGTCACTGTTGCACAAATTCCACAGAAAATGAATTAAAGAAAATTGCCTCAGACGATTTTGAACGTTCATTGCGTCATCATACCAAAAGTTTACGTGGCGTTTTGGAATCAACGGCAAAATATTTCCAATGTAAGTAGAAAACAAAATAAAAAATTCACTCGCTCAACAAGGATGCATAATATTTAAACACAAAGAAAATTTATTATATGTAACGTGTATAAAGTATTTATTTTTGACTGATCCCTCAACCACAAACAATGTTGTCATATTTATCAACATTTAAATATGTCATAATTCATAATGAAACGATTATTTATTTCCTATCGCTGAAGTGAATATAAACAACAAATCCATTGTTGTGTATTAATCATTTCGTGTTTTTCAATTTCTCTTTTTTTTTTGTATTTGCCCTCTTCTTTTTTTGGGGGATCAACGACAAAATTTGACAGTTATTATAAACTTATTGAGAATTTCGTTTTGCATACTAAAAGCAGTTATGAAAAAGGAAAATGTTATGAATGATAAATGATTGGAATAAATTAACAAAAGGAAACCAACACATAATTAAGAAAAATGAATTTTGAATATTGTTTATCCTGAAAGTATGCAACACGTTTTTGGAAATTTATTAAGAAAAATTAATTTTGAATATTGTTTATCCTGAAAGTATGCAACATTTTGTAGAAATTAATTTTATAAATGTTTATTATACATATTCACCCCTATTCTGTATGTCGTCGTCGTTGTCGACGACGTTTCTCTTTCGACATCACTTCGCATCGACATCGACATCACTTCGACACTGATTTGGTATTCTGTAACACTCATGCGACGATGTCGACTATTTATCGATAATATCAATAAAAACAAAAAAATTTTTGCATATTTTTGGGCAAAAATGTGTTTGTATCCTTCACCGCACTGTGGCACAGGCCATTATGTCTTGGTAAATGTGTTTGCAACGACCAAAAAGAAACGAGATAGACCCATAGTTACTTTTTAGTATATAGTATGTACATAGAATTATTTTTGAGTCGATTTATGCATGTCCCTCCATTCATGTATTATTTTAAACAAGTTACATGTCACCATTATGATCCGAACGGGATGAAATTTGGAAAAAATCCATCCAATTGGAATGAAATTTTATTTCCACATAGACGAGTCCTATTGACATTGATCAAAATCGGTTTAGATAGATCCCATATATATTTCTTTATTTACACTTTATTTTGCATTAAGTATTGAATAGATACTAGAATGATGTATCCTGTCCTTGTCCAGTCATTTATATTCCAAATATTTTTTTCTAAAAGTATGCATCATTTTTGTTTTCTGCTCTCTATAGCAGTCAATTCTGCTCGACCGTAGTTATGAGCCTCTTCGCGAGTAGTCGTATTGGTGTGAAGTGAAATACATCGATGAGACTATTGTTTAAATTGATAGATACCCAGAAAGAAATTTAAGCAGCCTATAAGTATGCTATATTTGTAATGAAAAATATTTAATATTATTCTCATTTTATTTAATTTTTTATTATAAACTTTTTATAACCTACATTATGAGATTCATATTCAAAATATGTAAAATCGATCGGAAATTTTAACAAACTACAGACTTTCAGGTTGCGTAATATGGCTATGACCGGACTTTCTTACTCAAGATTCCAAAATACTCAAGATTCCAAAAGTTGGGGTGCCATACCAAAACTGAGAGTAATATTGGCAATTTTTTTAAGAAAATTTCACATCCAATGGGAAAACAACAACTTAGAATCAATTCTGTCGAAATTGTATCACGAATCTTTAAAATATCTAATAAATGGTAGCTACGCCGAAACTTTTGGTAGGGAGATTTTCTACACAATGAGAAACCTATATATAAGACTACAACCGATTTGGATGGAAAACATGTCCAAATTCCGAAATAAGGGTGGTACCATTAAAATGGTCATATATCGACAATTTAATTTCCAAATAGGAAGGAATCGTTATATGGGGGCCTTTTTATACCTCAGACTTATGGCTAATGAGGGTATATAGACGTTGCTATGCCTTATCGAAATATTGGTTTCCCATGTTTTCTTGGAACAAATCCATTTCAGACAATTTGGAGTCGATTTACAAATGACCGTCCGTCTGGCGGACTGGTGCGCACGATAGCTCTCGAAGGGAATTACCGATTTCATTAAAACTTTGCACATCATCATATTTATTCCAAACTAAGAACAAGTTCGAAGATGGAGAATATCGGTCCACTACCTTCACCACAAAATGATAAAAATTTATAATATCACGCAAACGGACTAACCAATTTGATATAAACATTGCAGAACGTAGTACTTGAACCATGACTGTATAATGAGGAAATATGAGACCTATGGGCTCACTCCATCTAGTACCTCCCTCACAAAGGGTAAAAATGTTGAAAACTTGTACATCTCATATGAAGCGTACCGATTATCCAATTTCTTTACAACTTTGCAGATCGTAATATGTTGACCTTACCTAAATTATGTCCGAAGGTGGGTTCTGTCGGTCCACTTCTTTCGTCACCTTCCACACAAAATGGTCAAAATTTGACGGACAAAGTTTACTTCAGTAAACATTGCACAACATAATATTTTAATCATGACTTTATATTTTCAAAAATATGGAACCTATCGCTCTACTCTTCTAGTACCTCCCCAACAAAGGTTCTACATTTTTAAAATATTCATATCTCATATGCAGCGAACCGAATATCTATCTTTGAACAACATAATATGTTAGCGTACTAAGATTATGTTCGAAGATGGGACGCGTCAATCAACTACTTCTGGTCTCACTCCCAGAGTGTCAACACATTTTAAATTTGTTAATACAACATTAAATGAATTGAATGTCCGATTAGATCCAAACTTTTGCAAATTTCAATACTTTTATTTAGTGCCATAACTAGATGAACGAATGAACCAGACATAGTTCCGATCGTTTCTTTTGCTGAAGATCTCTTTGAAGTAGTTCATTCTGGATGGATCCAACTCTATTCAATGCCAAAGCTCTATCTTAAAAATTTCTAGCTCTATGGGAAATTCAACATACGAAGCGAGCATAGCTAAATCGACATAGAATTTTATTCTGATTAATAATGTTGTGTCCGATGAATATTTCGAATTGTTTCTAACAGAATGCCAACTTTAATATACACTTGACTTTAATAAAGATATCAGCCTATAAATATGCTTGTTATGAAAACTATTAACAAGGCTATAAAATATATTAATAATCATAATTGCCTCCCATTCTCTATATTTAAAAAAGAGAATTATGACATCAGCCTATAATTATGCTACATAATTTATGAAAACTGGCAAAGAATTTATATTATTTGAAGTATTCAGTAATCACAGCTTCTGTGGTACACATTAATCAATCAGCCTATAAATAACCTACACTGGAAATGCGAACTATTGGCTGAATTTGTATATATGAATACCTACAAAAATATGCACCTACTATTTAAAAACGTCGACTTATTTTTGGCGAGTATAAACCCCGGAAAGTCCCTAATAAAGAAAAAATGTATATTTTTATTTGAGACAATGTCAAACGCCTATAAGTATGCCATATTTTTATACAAGGAATTAAACTTAGTGACATAATGAAATGCGCCCTTATTATTACACATTTGCCTTGCAAATCCAGATTGTATTTAAAAGAAACCTGAAAAGAAATCCAAAACACTTTGTGAGGAAAAAAAGAAGAAAAAAACTTTGAAATTGTACAACGAAAACATGAATAAATATCAACTAAAAGGTGTATCGCTTTTGTCATATTTGCTTTAGCTTTGACATCATTATAATGACTACCAGAATGGTGGTTAGATCAAAACACAAAGACGTTTGAAGTTCTGTTTCCTTTTTTTATTTTTTCTTTTTCATATCAATAAACCACAACACAATATATACAAACAACCAAAGAAATGCATGTACATAGGGGCGTGTGTGTGTGTTGGCATTTTTATTTCATTTTTAATATTCAAAGAGGATGTACATAAAACACACAAAATCAAAAAATGTACGGATGTGATGTATGTATGTTTGTATATTGAAAATCACAAAAGACACAACCTTTGTAGGTGAGATCATGTCATGCGACGTGACCAATATTCCGTTTAATTTAATAATGGTTTGCATTTCCTTTTTAATACATGAAATGAAATTGAACATTTGCATATTTATATTTTTAATATAATTTCCTTCCCGGCACACGAATATAATTTTTTTTTAATTGCAATAATTTGCAAATTTTGTTATTTTTGTGTGTGTAAATTCAATAAACATAAACGGAATTTTAATTGAAAAAAAAAATTCACAAAAATATTTTTTTTATAATAAAAAATTCTTTGGCTTTGGGCATTAGACGAAAATCAATATTTTTTTCAGAATGATATTTCAGTTTTACTATGACAATATTTAGTTGGTTGGAAACAAAATTTTAAATGTAATTTAATTGGATGCTTTTAGTATGTTTGTTTTATTTTACATGCACCAGTCTTTTAACAAAACGTTTACAAATTGTTATTTAAATAAAAAAATAATATTTTTGTTTTGTATTTTTTCATTTGTACACAATTTGGTAATATTTTTCATACGAAAAACTATTAAACCCCAAAGCAATTCATTTAATATTTACAATGTCAAAAAAGGAAATAGAAATGTTATACCATGAAATTTTATAACAATGATAAATATGTACATAATATAAACATGTGTAAATTCAATTGCAAATTCATTGTGGGTGCTTTGAACAGCAATTTTATGCTATGAGTAAATAACTATGATCGGTGAGCAGGAGAATGAGTAAACCATAAATGACAACCCATAACCTGCATAACTCTATATATATTTTACAAACAATAATAAATTAAATAAACTCTTTATTATTTTTCACTTGTGTTGATTTTTGAAACAACAAATTTTCCCTTCAAAATTTTCCAGTTAATAAGAAAAAGTTTTGTTTATCTACTTATTGTTTCTTAATCGCATTATAGTTGCAACATTTAAATATGCAAATACTTTAGTCTGTTCTGTTCCGGCAAAGAATAATGTAGAGCAAACTTTTGAAAAATAAATGTAAGACCAAACA